ATATGTGGAAATGGTGAAGATTGAAAGAGCAATGTTGAGGATGTTTCACTACTTCGTCTTCATTTCTGACCCTCACAGGAAGTCGTCAGAGTGGACGGAACCATTCTTCAACAACCTTTCCGATTTGTTTGATAAGTACTCTGATGAAGGATTGACGTCCGAGAGGTGGATCGACCAGCGTCGCCATTTCAAAGAGATGAGTTGGGTGCGAACGTTCCCGGCTACACTTGGAGGAGAGGAGGAGAAAGGAGAAGAGGGCTTCAAGAAAACAACGTCACTTACTGCGAAGTGTCCCGAAGAGTTCGTGCAGTTTGTCAACAAGCTGCTGCGCAGATAAGAAACCAGGGGTTCGAAAAGCATAAGAATGTCGGGCTCGGCGCAATATATACATTTCAAAAGACAGAACGTGAACTCTGTTTTCGTCCCATTCCAATGGGAGCCAAGCGATATTTCAGACGAGATGGATTCCAAGGAAATATATAGAGTCGTCAAACATCTGAGTTGCCACACGGCCGTGCTGGATTTATGTCGCCCAACCCAGATAGGGGTGTGGACTGATGAAGTCTTTGATGGTCTGCGGAAGTTCATGAAAAAACTGGCTGGTGATTATTGGACATTATTATGCTTCGTTCCGCGGTCTTGAGAGTATACATTTTTCAAGCGAGTTACAAGTTGGAAGATTGACATTCACTTGTCTATTCTAAAGTGGACTCGTCAGCTACAAACGAAGGCGAAGCATTTATATAAGGTTGCGAACTTGCCTTTGGAGGACACAAACAGAATGGTTGTCATCATGTACTCCAACGATGGGGATTATCACCGCAACACTATTCCCTTGCTTGAAGACACTCCAGCAAGCACTCCAGCTGCAGATCGATCATCTGGCGAGCAGGCGGGTGACTTATCAACACTTGTGCGCAGAGAGAGAAGACCAAAAATGTTGGCTGATGTCGTGGAGAAGAACTTCTTGCCCACGAAGTTGAAAATGGCAGGTATGGAGCCAAGGGAGAAATTGGTGTACGAAGGTATGGAAAAAGAGCCAAATGCGATGGTGGAGACATTGGAGCATTTTTGTCCTGCGGATGAGGCGGTTGTTTTCCTGGGAAAAGGTCATGCGGCGTTGATTTGGGAGTTGTTAAAGAGTCACCGTCATTGCATTGTTCTGGAAGGGGAGGGTATGAAGTTCGAGTTTCTCGTTCAATTCGTCACCAAGATGGTCAAGAGCGAATTTTACCTCGCCAAAATTGTTAAGCCGCCTCCTCGACATGATGAAAAGCGTGATCTCGTCTACAAAGTCGGCAAAAACATCGTCAACATTTGGAAGTTCCTTTTCGAGACTAAGCCAGAAAACAGAGGAGAACGTACATATGTCGTCAGAAGGCGAAAAATGGAATCACTTCTGAGGGGATATCATAAGGCACCGGCGGAGACGGAAGTTGCATTTCTAGACCGTTTAGAGATGATGTACTTCGACGAACAAATCGGGGCGTTTACAATCGCAGCTTATGCAACTTGTTTTGGGGAAGGCTTCGATGCTGAGGACTCAGAGGAAGAAAGT